ATAACAATTTTTTATAGGTTAATTTATAAAGTCTAATCTTAAGACTATTAAATCGCCATCAATGATTCACAACTGTCCAACTCGCCGTCTAAAACCTAATTTTGGATAAAAGTTGCTTAAATCACTTAAATTTTGAGATGTATTGTAAAACCCAAAGTTATTCATTCATTCAACCTTCATTTAAACATATAAGTCACATTAAGCCTCAAAGACTCATTTACAAGTGAGACCTGTTTGGACAGACAATAAAATTTGGTGAAATGATATTTATCTGTAATCGCAGGGGGGCCGTTTCCCCCCTCAGCCCTACTCAAACTGCAGTTGGGTCACCTCGTTGGGTTTGTTTGCCCATTTGATTTGTGACGTTTTATGGTCTGAGACTTTTCTGTACCATTCATATTATTGTCATGTTTTTCAGATCTCAGATTATCTGGAGTCACTGAATCTTGTTAATACGTCTGGATCTGCCCATCACTGCAACTTTCACTGTTTTTGGGTTCTGAATGATCGCGTCTTCATTAATGTTTCTCATGGTTCGATTATGGGGGCTAATTGTCACACTGTTAACTCCTGTAATTACACATCGGTCACGAAAAACTACAAAAAATGTCTGATAATAATGTTGTTACTGCTCTCAGGGATTCAGCCCAACCCTGGACCCCCCACTATTTATATGACACCAATTTTCTTTAAAAACATGTCTGGACTTCATTTTCTGCATGTAAACGCACGTAGCCTTCTGAAAAAACTTGATACCTTGAAAATTCTTGTCAGTTCTTCTGGGGCAGATGTAATCTTGATCTCTGAAGCCTGGCTCAACAAATCTGTAATGAATAATGACCTAGTAATCAATGGATTTAAAATCTACCACTGTGATCATCCAAAAGGGGGGGGGGGGGGGGGGGGGTCATTATTTACTTTTGAGATTCTTTGGTTGTTAGTCTTTTTTTTTAAAACAATTCTTAACCAAATTGATGCCTTAGCTGTAAACATCACTTTGAATGGCGGCCAGATTTTATCTGTAGTCTGTTATAATCCACCTTCAGTAACACCTGAGGCTCTGTCCTCCCTGATGAAATTCCTTAGTAATTTAAAATTCAAAGATCTTTTTGGCAGGAGATTTCAACATTGACTGGGGAAAGTCGACCCCCCTCTGTGATAAATTCAAGGAATGTTGCCTCTCTCTCAATCTAACCAAACTGATCAACTCTCCGACAAGATTAAACAAAAACCGTCTTGAAAAGTCCTCCATCTTAGACCTGTTTCTAACAAATATGCCTTGTAAGTTCCCTGGTACAGGTGTATTCGCCAATATTTTGAGTGATCACTGTGTGACAGCGAATCTGAGAGATAGTAAACTTCCACTTTATAAGCCCAGATTAATAAAAAAAAAAGATCTGAAATGTTTTTGTGAACAGTCATTCCTCAGGGATCTGTCTCACTTTGACTGGTATCATACTCTGTTAACTGATGACGTGAACTCCGCTTGGAACTATTTTCATAATAGTTTCGTTTATTTTGTGAACAAACATGCTCCTTTTCGTCAGTTCAGAATAAAGGGACGAGACAGCCCCTGGTTAACTCCAGAACTAGCTGACTTCCTACACAGGAGAGACCATCTTTGAGTCAAGATTTTCTCGCTGTAGCCCAGACACTGATTGGTTGAGTTTTCGACAGATGAAGAATAAATGTACAATTGCCATTAAAGCAGCAAAATGCAACTATTTATTATCTCAGACCTCCAAAAATCTAAATGACCCTAACAGATTCTGGAAAACCATCGAATCTCTCTACGGTACCCCCCAATCATCTGACCTCCCATCACAACTTCTCATTAACTCTGTTCCTGTGTCAAATAAGTACAAGATCCTGAACTGTTTCAACAAACATTTTGTTGCTTCTAGTTCTTTATTCGACACAGTTACTAATGGAAAATCAGCCACTTCACTCAATAACCAAACTTCTACAAATCAAATCCCTCCAAGTCAATCCTCAGTTAATCACAGCTTCTCTTTTTCTCCATTCTCAGTCAGTGAGGTCAATAAACTGTTAAAAGATCTTGACCCTAAAAAATCTGCAGGTCCAGATGAACTTCCACCTTATTTTTTAAGGTTGCTGCTCATATCATCACAGTCCCTGTGACCCACACCTTCAATCTCTCCATAAGACAAAACTCCATCCCAGACACTTGGAAAACAGCCTTTGTTCTTCCTTTGCTGAAGGGAGGTGACCCCACCTCACTGAACAACTATCAACCAATCTCTAAACTCTGCATTTTAGCCAAGGTTCTAGAAAAACTGATAAACTCTCAAATCAAAAATTACCTGGACTCATTTAACATCTTACCTCCACATCAATCTGGTTTCAGGAAACACAGCACAACCACTGCTTCACTGAAGGTTCTTAATGACGTTGTTGAAGCACTGGATGCTAAGGATTATTGTGCTGCACTTTTCTTAGACCTGTCTAAAGCTTTTGACACTGTGGATCATAACATGTCATAAACTCTCAGAAATTGGTTTCTCAGAACACACCGTTGGTTATCCTGATGCATGCTCAATAATCCAGGTAGAAAAATCTAAAAAAGTTAAATCTGGTCCTCTGGACATTCAAAAAAAAAAAAAACCCAAAACAAAGCAAATCAACAAAAAAATGTAGAAACGTTTCTTCTCTCATCTGACGACACCTGGTTTAAAATAAAATCTCAGGAAGTCCAACATTTTACTGACCACATCAACTCTGTGGATAAATACATCAAGTACACACGAGAAGATGTAAAAAATGGCAGGTTGGCTTTCTTGGACTGTGAGGTCTCAGTCTCTGATAGAGGACATTTGCAAACTGAGGTGTACCGCAAACCCACCCACACAGACCAGTATTTGTAGTTTGACTCCCATCACCCTTTGGAGCACAAGTTAGGAGTCATCAGGACTCTGTATCACAGAGCAGACAGCGTCCCCACTAGCTCAGGAGCCAGGCAGAAGGAGAAATCCCACACATGACAGGTTCTAGAGCAATGTGGATATCCTAACTGGGCCTTCCTGAAAGCAGAGAAGAAACCCAAACAGGACTCCAGTCAGCCAACAGGTGAAAAGGAGGAACCCAGACCAGTGGTCATTCCATATGTTGAGGGTGTATCAGAGAAACTGAGACGTTTATTTTCTAAACATAACGTCCCAGTGGCTTTTAAACCCCAAAATACATTACGGCAAAACTGGTTCATCCCAAAGATCCAGTCCCCCGGCACAAACGGAGCAATGTTGTGTATGCTGTTCAGTGTCAGGAGGGCTGTGATCAGTCTTACATCGAGGAAACTAA